GACACACACAGTGACACACAGTGACACACACAATGACACACACAGTGACACACACAGTGACACACAGTGACACACACAGTGACACATACATTGACACACACAGTGACACACACAGTGACACACACACAGTGGCACACACAGTGACACACACAGTGACACACAGTGACACACACAGTGACACACACAGTGACACACACAGTGACACACACACAGTGACACACACAGTGACACACACACAGTGACACACACAGTGACACACACACAGTGACACACACAGTGACACACACACAGTGACACACACAGTGACACACACACAGTGACACACACAGTGACACACAGTGACACACACAGTGACACACACAGTGACACACACAGTGACACACACAGTGACACACACAGCGACACACACACAGTGACACACACAGTGACACACAGTGACACACACAGTGACACACACAGTGACACACACAGTGACACACAGTGACACACAGAGTGACACATACATTAACACACAGTGACACACACAGTGACACACACAGTGACACACAGTGACACACACAGTGACACACAGTGACACACAGAGTGACACATACATTAACACACAGTGACACACACAGTGACACACACAGTGACACACACAGTGACACACACAGTGACACACACAGTGACACACAGTGACACACACAGTGACACACACAGTGACACACAGTGACACACAGAGTGACACATACATTAACACACAGTGACACACACAGTGACACACACAGTGACACACACAGTGACACACACAGTGACACACACAGTGACACATACAGTGACACACAGAGTGACACATACATTAACACACAGTGACACACACAGTGACACACAGAGTGACACATACATTAACACACAGTGACACACACAGGGACACACACACAGTGACACACACAGTGACACACACAGTGACACACAGTGACACACACAGTGACACACACAGTGACACACATAGTGACACACAGTGACACACACAGTGACACACACAGTGACACATACAGTGACACACACAGTGACACCCACAGTGACACACACAGTGACACACACAGTGACACACACAGTGACACACACAGTGACACTACACAGTGACACACACAGTGACACACAGTGACACACACAGTGACACACACAGTGACACACACAGTGACACACACAGTGACTCACACAGTGACACACACAGTGACACACACAGTGACACACACAGTGACACACAATGACACACACAGTGACACACACAGTGACACACACAGTGACACACACAGTGACACTACACAGTGACACACAGAGTGACACATACATTAACACACAGTGACACACACAGTGGCACACACAGTGACACACACAGTGACACACACAGTGACACACACAGTGACACACACAGTGACACACAGTGACACACACAGTGACACACACAGTGACACACACAGTGACACACAATGACACACACAGTGACACACACAGTGACACACACAGTGACACACACAGTGACACACACACAGTGACACACACAGTGACACACAGTGACACACACAGTGACACACACAGTGACACACACAGTGACACACAGTGACACACACAGTGACACACACAGTGACTCATACAGTGACACACACACAGTGACACACACACAGTGACACACACAGTGACACACACAGTGACACACACAGTGACACTACACAGTGACACACACAGTGACACACACAGTGACACACACAGTGACACACACAGTGACACACAGTGACACACACAGTGACACACACAGTGACACACAGAGTGACACATACATTAACACACAGTGACACACACAGTGACACACACAGTGACACACAGTGACACACACAGTGACACACACAGTGACACACACAGTGACACACAGTGACACACACAGTGACACACACAGTGACACACAGTGAAACACACAGGGACACACACAGTGACACACACAGTGAAACACACAGTGACACACAGTGACACACACAGTGACACACACAGTGACACACACAGTGACACATACAGTGACACACAGTGACACATACCAACCTGGAGTGTCAGCACTTGCAACATTACAGTCTCATGCATGTTGCTCTGACGTCATCTGAAGCATGTTGTTCATATAGCTATATAACTGTTTACTTCTGTGACGTCAGACCTGTGTGTGACGTCAGACCTGTGTGACGTCAGACCTGTGTGACGTCAGACCTGTGTGTGACGTCAGACCTGTGCGTGACGTCAGCTCTGTGTGACGTCACGCCTGGTACTCCTGACCAAAGCAACACTTGCTCCTGACTAAGCTTGTGAACGTGTAGCTGCATGCACCAGTCGCAGAACCATGTTGCATATTCGGCCATGTTGCAGCCAGCATTTCTGCAGTGATAGGCGGGTGCTTACATAGTCTCTATGGCCGCCTGGTGGCATGTCTTGTGGCTGAGGACTGAGTTTACAGAGAACTTATGTGTCCAGGACCGAGGTCTGGGGGCTCGTGAGCCACTGCGGGGCTTACGCACCCCCACAACCCATCTCTCCTGTTGATGGGGAAGTGGAAGCCAAGGTCGGGCGAGCGAACATTAGCCGGGATCATTCATTCGAACTTCTCCAGCCCTGACTTCGTCTTCCTTGTCGCTAGCGGACGTGTCTGTATCTCTTATCATGGCGTCTTTATCTGAATTTACTAACCAACTTACGAGCTCAGACATGCTAAGAGGACGTCAATACCGTAAAGACCTCGTAACACTACGAGAGCCAACTAAAGACTGAGCCATTAAGACGGACAAAAGAGGTCCAGACGTGGTGTCCGGACAGGTAGGTCCTCTGTCAGCCTCAGACGAGACCTGTGTGTTCATATACTCGTATAAAACTGTATTATAATACTTAGGGCCTCGGCAAGTATGATGTAATGTACGTTAAGTATAATATAAATATATTTCTATGATATTTTCTGCCCAGTAACATTATAGAGTGAACAAAGTCATCAAATTGTGACATTTGCAACATGTTCAACTTGGAGCAGTTGTATCTTAGATATTGCATAACACACTTGGTGCGCCTTACACAACTTCCCCAGGTGGGCTCACAACACCCCAAGTGGCCCAACAACACCCCCAGGTGGCCCCACAACTTCCCAGGTGGCCCCACAACACCCTAGGTGGCCCCACAACACCCCAGGTGGTCCCACAACACCACAGGTGGGCCAACAACACCACAGGTGGCCCCACAACACCCCAGGTGGCCCCACAACACTTCAGGTGGTCTCACAACACCCTAGGTGACCCCACAACACCCTATATGGCATCACAACACCCCAGGTGGCCCCACAACATCCCAGGTGGCCCCACAACACCACAGGTGACCCCACAACACCCCAAGTGGCCCCCGCAACACCTCAGGTGGCCCAAGAACACCACAGGTGGCCCAACAACACCCCAGGTGGTCTCACAACACCCCAGGTGGCCCCTCAACACCCCAGGTGGCCCACACAACACTCCAGGTGGCCCCACAACACCACAGGTGGCCCCACAACATCCCAGGTGCCACCACCAACACCCCAGGTGCACCAACAACAACCCAGGTGCACCAACAACACACCAGGTGCACCAACAACACCACAGGTGCACCAACAACACCCCAGGTGCACTAACACCCCAGGTGCACCAACAACACCCCAGGTGCACTAACACCCCAGGTGCACCAACAACACCCCAGGTGCACCAACAACTCCCCAGGTGCACTAACACCCCAGGTGCCCCACCAACACCCCAGGTGCACCTAACAACACCCCAGGTGCACCAACAACACCCCAGGTGCACCACCAACACCCTAGGTGCACCACCAACACCCCAGGTGCAGCACTAACACCCCAGGTGCACCTAACAACACCCCAGGTGCACCACCAACACCCCAGGTGCACCAACAACACACTAGGTGCACCAACACCCCAGGTGCACCAACAACACCCCAGGTGCACCAACAACACCCCAGGTGCACCACCAACACCCCAGGTGCACTTAACAACACCCCAGGTGCACCAACAACACCCCAGGTGCACCACCAACACCCCAGGTGCACCACTAACACCCCAGGTGCACCACCAACACCCCAGGTGTACCCAACAACACCCCAGGTGCACCACTAACACCCCAGGTGCACCACCAACACCCCAGGTGCACCACTAACACCCCAGGTGCCCCACCAACACCCCAGGTGCACCACTAACACCCCAGGTGCACCAACAACACCCCAGGTGCACTAACACCCTAGGTGCACCACCAACACCCCAGGTGCACTTAACAACACCCCAGGTGCACCAACAACACCCCAGGTGCACCACCAACACCCCAGGTGCACCACCAACACCCCAGGTGCACCACTAACACCCCAGGTGCACCAACAACACCCCAGGTGCACCACCAACACCCCAGGTGCACCACCAACACCCCAGGTGCCCCACCAACACCCCAGGTGCACCACTAACACCCCAGGTGCACCACCAACACCCCAGGTGCACCACCAACACCCCAGGTGCACCACTAACACCCCAGGTGCACCACTAACACCCCAGGTGCACCTAACAACACTCCAGGTGCACCACTAACACCCCAGGTGCACCACTAACAACCCAGGTGCACCACCAACACCCCAGGTGCACCACCAACACCCCAGGTGCACCACCAACACCCCAGGTGCACCTAACAACACTCCAGGTGCACTAACACCCCAGGTGCACCACTAACACCCCAGGTGCACCTAACAACACTCCAGGTGCACCACTAACACCCCAGGTGCACCACTAACACCCCAGGTGCACCACCAACACCCCAGGTGCATCACCAACACCCCAGGTGCACCACCAACACCCCAGGTGCACCTAACAACACTCCAGGTGCACTAACACCCCAGGTGCACCACTAACACCCCAGGTGCACCTAACAACACTCCAGGTGCACTAACACCCCAGGTGCGTGTTGCAGGCGGCGTCTACGAGGATAGTGGGCGGCATCTGGTGGTTCTTCACCCTGATCATCATCAGCTCCTACACCGCCAACCTGGCCGCCTTCCTCACTGTTGAACGGATGATAACACCCATTGGTACGTTCCCCCTCCCCCCCTCATGTTCCTGGGGACGTTCACCACCCTCATGTTGCTGGGGGCGTTCACCACCCTCATGTTGCTGGGCACGTTCACCACCCTCATGTTGCTGGGGACGTTCACCACCCTAATGTTGCTGGGGGCGTTCCTCACCCTCATGTTGCTGGGGACGTTCACCACCCTCATGTTGCTGGGGGCGTTCACCACCCTCATGTTGCTGGGGGCGTTCACCACCCTCATGTTGCTGGGGGCGTTCACCACCCTCATGTTCCTGGGGGCGTTCACCACCCTCATGTTGCTGGGGACATTCCTCACCCTCATGTTGCTGGGGGCGTTCCTCACCCTCATGTTGCTGGGGGCGTTCACCACCCTCATGTTGCTGGGGGCGTTCACCACCCTCGTGTTCCTGGGGACGTTCACCACCCTAATGTTGCTGGGGGCGTTCACCACCCTCATGTTGCTGGGGACATTCCTCACCCTCATGTTGCTGGGGGCGTTCACCACCCTCATGTTGCTGGGGGCGTTCACCACCCTCATGTTGCTGGGGACATTCCTCACCCTCATGTTGCTGGGGGCGTTCACCACCCTCAAGTTGCTGGGGGCATTCACCACCCTCATGTTGCTGGGGACGTTCCTCACCCTCATGTTGCTGGGGGCGTTCCTCACCCTCATGTTGCTGGGCACGTTCACCACCCTCATGTTGCTGGGGGCGTTCCTCACCCTTATGTTGCTGGAGACGTTCACCACCCTCATGTTGTTGAGGGCGTTCACCACCCTCATGTTGCTGGGGGCGTTCACCACCCTCATGTTGCTGGGGGCGTTCACCACCCTCATGTTGCTGGGGGCGTTCACCACCCTCATGTTGCTGGGGGCGTTCACCACCCTCATGTTGCTGGGGCGTTCACCACCCCTCATGTTGCTGGGGGCGTTCACCACCCTCATGTTGCTGGGGACGTTCACCACCCTCATGTTGCTGGGCACGTTCACCACCCTCATGTTGCTGGGGACGTTCACCACCCTCATGTTGCTGGGGGCGTTCACCACCCTCATGTTGCTGGGGACGTTCACTACCCTCATGTTGTTGGGGACGTTCACCACCCTCATGTTGCTGGGGGCGTTCACCACCCTCATGTTGCTGGGGACATTCCTCACCCTCATGTTGCTGGGGGCGTTCACCACCCTCATGTTGCTGGGGACGTTCACCACCCTCATGTTGCTGGGGACGTTCACCACCCTCATGTTCCTGGGGACGTTCACTACCCTCATGTTGCTGGGGACGTTCACCACCCTCATGTTGCTGGGGACATTCCTCACACCCTCATGTTGCTGGGGACATTCCTCACCCTCATGTTGCTGGGGGCGTTCACCACCCTCATGTTGCTGGGGACATTCCTCACCCTCATGTTGCTGGGGGCGTTCACCACCCTCATGTTGCTGGGGGCGTTCACCACCCTCATGTTGCTGGGGGCGTTCACCACCCTCATGTTGCTGGGGACATTCCTCACCCTCATGTTGCTGGGGGCGTTGACCACCCTCATGTTGCTGGGGGCGTTCACCACCCTCATGTTGCTGGGGACATTCCTCACCCTCATGTTGCTCGGGGCGTTCACCACCCTCATGTTGCTGGGGGCGTTCACCACCCTCATGTTGCTGGGGGCGTTCACCACCCTCATGTTGCTGGGGACATTCCTCACCCTCATGTTACTGGGGACATTCACTACCCTCATGTTGCTGGGGGCGTTCACCACCCTCATGTTGCTGGGGGCGTTCATCACCCTCATGTTGCTGGGGACATTCCTCACCCTCATGTTGCTGGGGGCGTTCACCACCCTCATGTTGCTGGGGACGTTCACCACCCTCATGTTGCTGGGGGCGTTCACCACCCTCATGTTGCTGGGGGCGTTCACTACCCTCATGTTGCTGGGGGCGTTCACCACCCTCATGTTGCTGGGGGCGTTCACCACCCTCATGTTGCTGGGGACGTTCCTCACCCTCATGTTGCTGGGGACATTCCTCACCCTCATGTTGCTGGGGACGTTCACCACCCTAATGTTGCTGGGGGCGTTCACCACCCTCATGTTGCTGGGGGCGTTCACCACCCTCATGTTGCTGGGGACGTTCCTCACCCTCATGTTGCTGGGGACATTCCTCACCCTCATGTTGCTGGGGACGTTCACCACCCTAATGTTGCTGGGGGCGTTCACCACCCTCATGTTGCTGGGGACGTTCCTCACCCTCATGTTGCTGGGGACATTCCTCACCCTCATGTTGCTGGGGACGTTCACCACCCAAATGTTGCTGGGGACGTTCCTCACCCTCATGTTCCTGGGGACGTTCCTCACCCTCATGTTGCTGGGGACATTCCTCACCCTCATGTTGCTGGGGGCGTTCACCACCCTCATGTTCCTGGGGACGTTCCTCACCCTCATGTTCCTGGGGACGTTCCTCACGCTCATGTTGCTGGGGACATTCCTCACCCTCATGTTGCTGGGGGCGTTCACCACCCTCATGTTCCTGGGGACGTTCCTCACCCTCATGTTCCTGGGGACGTTCCTCACCCTCATGTTGCTGGGGACATTCCTCACCCTCATGTTGCTGGGGACGTTCACCACCCTCATGTTGCTGGGGGCGTTCCTCACCCTCATGTTGCTGGGGACGTTCACCACCCTCATGTTGCTGGGGACGTTCCCCACCCTCATGTTGCTGGGGGCGTTCCTCACCCTCATGTTGCTGGGGACGTTCCTCACCCTCATGTTGCTGGGGACGTTCACCACCCTCATGTTGCTGGGGGCGTTCACCATCCTCATGTTGTTAGGCACGTTCACCACCCTCATGTTGCTGGGGACGTTCACCACCCTCATGTTGCTGGGGGCGTTCACCACCCTCATGTTGTTGGGCACGTTCACCACCCTCATGTTGCTGGGGACGTTCACCACCCTAATGTTGCTGGGGGCGTTCACCACCCTCATGTTGTTGGGCACGTTCACCACCCTCATGTTGCTGGGGGCGTTCACCACCCTCATGTTGCTGGGGACGTTCCTCACCCTCATGTTGCTGGGCACGTTCACCACCCTCATGTTGCTGGGGGCGTTCACCACCCTCATGTTGCTGGGGACGTTCACCACCCTCATGTTGCTGGGGGCGTTCACCACCCTCATGTTGCTGGGGACGTTCCTCACCCTCATGTTGCTGGTGACGTTCACCACCCTCATGTTGCTGGGGACGTTCACCACCCTCATGTTGCTGGGGACGTTCACACCCTCATGTTGCTGGGGGCGTTCACCACCCTCATGTTGCTGGGGACGTTCACCACCCTCATGTTGCTGGGGACGTTCACCACCCTCTTGTTGCTGGGGACGTTCACCACCCTCATGTTTCTGGGCACGTTCCTCACCCTCATGTTGCAGGGGACGTTCACCACCCTCATGTTGCTGGGGACGTTCCTCACCCTCATGTTGCTGGGCACGTTCACCACCCTCATGTTGCTGGGGACATTCACCACCCTCATGTTGCTGAGGACGTTCACCACCCTCATGTTGCTGGGGGCGTTCCTCACCCTCATGTTGCTGGGGACGTTCACCACCCTCATGTTGCTGGGGGCGTTCACCACCCTCATGATGCTGGGGACGTTCACCACCCTCATGTTGCTGGGGACGTTCACCACCCTCATGTTGCTGGGGACGTTCACCACCCTCATGTTGCTGGGGACGTTCCTCACCCTCATGTTGCTGGTGACGTTCCTCACCCTCATGTTGCTGGGGACGTTCACCACCCTCATGTTGCTGGGGGCGTTCCTCACCATCATGTTGCTGGGGACGTTCACCACCCTCATGTTGCTGGGGGCGTTCACCACCCTCATGTTGCTGGGGGCGTTCACCACCCTCATGTTGCTGGGAGCGTTCACCACCCTCATGTTGCTGGGGGCGTTCACCACCCTCATGTTGCTGGGGACGTTCACCACCCTCATGTTGCTGGGGGCGTTCACCACCCTCATGTTGCTGGGGGCGTTCAACACCCTCATGTTGCTGGGGACGTTCACCACCCTCATGTTCCTGGGGACGTTCCTCACCCTCATGTTGCTGGGGGCGTTCACCACCCACATGTTCCTGGGGACGTTCCTCACCCTCATATTGCTGGGGACGTTCCTCACCCTCATGTTGCTGGGGGCGTTCACCACCCTCATGTTGCTGGGGGCGTTCACCACCCTCATGTTGCTGGGGACGTTCACCACCCTCATGTTGCTGGGGACGTTCACCACCCTCATGTTGCTGGGGACGTTCACCACCCTCATGTTGCTGGGGGCGTTCACCACCCTCATGTTGCTGGGGACGTTCGCCACCCTCATGTTGCTGGGGGCGTTCACCACCCTCATGTTGCTGGGGACGTTCACCACCCTCATGTTGCTGGGGGCGTTCACCACCCTCATGTTGCTGGGGACGTTCCTCACCCTCATGTTGCTGGTGACGTTCACCACCCTCATGTTGCTGGGGACGTTCACCACCCTCATGTTGCTGGGGACGTTCACACCCTCATGTTGCTGGGGGCGTTCACCACCCTCATGTTGCTGGGGACGTTCACCACCCTCATGTTGCTGGGGACGTTCACCACCCTCGTGTTGCTGGGGACGTTCACCACCCTCATGTTTCTGGGCACGTTCCTCACCCTCATGTTGCAGGGGACGTTCACCACCCTCATGTTGCTGGGGACGTTCCTCACCCTCATGTTGCTGGGCACGTTCACCACCCTCATGTTGCTGGGGACATTCACCACCCTCATGTTGCTGAGGACGTTCACCACCCTCATGTTGCTGGGGGCGTTCCTCACCCTCATGTTGCTGGGGACGTTCACCACCCTCATGTTGCTGGGGGCGTTCACCACCCTCATGATGCTGGGGACGTTCACCACCCTCATGTTGCTGGGGACGTTCACCACCCTCATGTTGCTGGGGACGTTCACCACCCTCATGTTGCTGGGGACGTTCCTCACCCTCATGTTGCTGGTGACGTTCCTCACCCTCATGTTGCTGGGGACGTTCACCACCCTCATGTTGCTGGGGGCGTTCCTCACCATCATGTTGCTGGGGACGTTCACCACCCTCATGTTGCTGGGGGCGTTCACCACCCTCATGTTGCTGGGGGCGTTCACCACCCTCATGTTGCTGGGAGCGTTCACCACCCTCATGTTGCTGGGGGCGTTCACCACCCTCATGTTGCTGGGGACGTTCACCACCCTCATGTTGCTGGGGGCGTTCACCACCCTCATGTTGCTGGGGGCGTTCAACACCCTCATGTTGCTGGGGACGTTCACCACCCTCATGTTCCTGGGGACGTTCCTCACCCTCATGTTGCTGGGGGCGTTCACCACCCACATGTTCCTGGGGACGTTCCTCACCCTCATATTGCTGGGGACGTTCCTCACCCTCATGTTGCTGGGGGCGTTCACCACCCTCATGTTGCTGGGGGCGTTCACCACCCTCATGTTGCTGGGGACGTTCACCACCCTCATGTTGCTGGGGACGTTCACCACCCTCATGTTGCTGGGGACGTTCACCACCCTCATGTTGCTGGGGGCGTTCACCACCCTCATGTTGCTGGGGACGTTCGCCACCCTCATGTTGCTGGGGACGTTCACCACCCTCATGTTGCTGGGGGCGTTCACCACCCTCATGTTGCTGGGGGCGTTCACCACCCTCATGTTGCTGGGGACGTTCACCACCCTCGTGTTGCTGGGGACGTTCACCACCCTCATGTTGCTGGGGGCGTTCACCACCCTCATGTTGCTGTGGACGTTCCTCACCCTCATGTTGCTGGGGCGTTCACCACCCTCATGTTGCTGGGGGCGTTCCTCACCCTCATGTTGCTGGGGACGTTCACCACCCTCATGTTCCTGGGGACGTTCCTCACCCTCATGTTGCTGGGGGCGTTCCTCACCCTCATGTTGCTGGGGACGTTCACCACCCTCATGTTCCTGGGGACGTTCCTCACCCTCATGTTGCTGGGGGCGTTCACCACCCTCATGTTGCTGGGGGCGTTCACCACCCTCATGTTGCTGGGGGCGTTCACCACCCTCATGTTGCTGGGCACGTTCACCACCCTCATGTTCCTGAAGGTCGGCGTTCAATCCCCGACCATCCAAGTGGTCGGGCACCATTCCTTCCCACCGTCCCATCCCAAATCCTTATCCTGACCCCTTCCCCGTGCTATCTAGTGGTAATGGCTTGGTGCTTCCCCCTGATAAACCCCCCCTGCCTCTGTGGCCGTGCTGTCGCAGCTCTGTGGGTGATGTGAGCAATGTTCCTGGCGTCGTGTTCCCGCCGGGATCTCATTTTCCTTCCCGGGGGGTAGGGGGGGGGTTTATCACTATCATCATTTTCCCATCACCTGCCAGAGTTGGAGTGATGTATCCTGTGTATCCTGTGTGTCCTGTGTGTTCTGTGTGTCGTGTGTGTCCTGTGTGTCCTGTGTGTTCTGTGTGTCGTGTGTGTCGTGTGTGTCCTGTGTGTCCTGTGTGTTCTGTGTGTCGTGTGTGTCGTGTGTGTCCTGTGTGTCCTGTGTGTTCTGTGTGTCGTGTGTGTCGTGTGTGTCCTGTGTGTCCTGTGTGTTCTGTGTGTCGTGGGTGTCGTGTGTATCCTGTGTGTCGTGTGTATCCTGTGTGTCCTGTGTGTCGTGTGTATCCTGTGTATCCTGTGTGTCCTGTGTGTTGTGTGTATCCTATGTGTCCTGTGTGTCCTGTGTATGCTGTGTATCCTGTGTCTCCTGTGTATCCTGTGTCTCCTGTGTATCCTATCTATCCTGTGTATCATGTTTATCCTGTTTATCCTGTGTATCCTATGTATTAATATCTGTAAGTTCCAATCACTTCCACTTTCTTTTACCTAGACGTGCTGTTCACTCTCCCTGTGTTTGCTTCTTCTTAGTTTAGTTTCCCCTCTACCTCCAAAGTGTTCCTTAAGTTCCTCTACTTCATGTGTAACTCCATCCTCATTGGTATACAAGACCTTAGGGCTCATCTTGAACTGTATTATGTGATTCAACGGATTGGAATAACGGATTAGAGTCGGAGGAAGTAGTGATGATTGGTTGTGAGTTAGGGAGATGCAGAGCGGGTCTGAGAGGTGTGTATGTGTGTATATATGTGATCACATGTGTATGTGTGTATATATGTGATCACATGTGTATGTGTGTATATATGTGATCACATGTGTATGTGTGTATATATGTGATCACATGTGTATGTGTGTATATATGTGATCACATGTGTATGTGTGTATATATGTGATCACATGTGTATAATGTATATATGTGATCACATGTGTATAACGCTAATATGTTAACTGCCTCGTGACAGAGAGCGCGGAGGACCTGGCCGAGCAGAACGAGATTGAGTACGGCACTTTGGAGGGCGGGTCCACCATGGCCTTCTTCAGGGTAAGTGTATGGTGGAGCAGACAGTGTGTATGTGGTGGAGCAGACAGGCGGTATGTGTGGTGGAGCAGACAGTATGTGTGGTGGAGCAGACAGTGTGTGTGGTGGAGCAGACAGGCGGTATGTGTGTGTGGAGCAGACAGGCTGTATGTGTGTGGTGGAGCAGACAGGCAGCATGTGTGTGGTGGAGCAGACAGTATGTGTGTGTGGGGGAGCAGACAGGAAGTATGTGTGTGGTGGAGCAGACAGGCAGTATGTGTGGTGGAGCAGACAGTATGTGTGGTGGAGCAGACAGTATGTGTGGTGGAGCAGACAGTATGTGTGGTGGAGCAGACAGTGTGTGTGGTGGAGCAGACAGGCGGTATGTGTGTGTGGAGCAGACAGGCTGTATGTGTGTGGTGGAGCAGACAGGCTGTATGTGTGTGGTGGAGCAGACAGGCAGCATGTGTGTGGTGGAGCAGACAGTATGTGTGTGTGGTGGAGCAGACAGGGAGTATGTGTGTGGTGGAGCAGACAGGCAGTATGTGTGGTGGAGCAGACAGTATGTGTGTGGTGGAGCAGACAGGCTGTGTGTGTGGTGGAGCAGACAGTATGTGTGTGGTGGAGCAGACAGGCAGTATGTGTGTGGTGGAGCAGACAGGCAGTATGTGTGGTAGAGCAGACAGTATGTGAGGTGGAGCAGACAGTGTGTGTGTGGTGGAGCAGACAGTATGTGTGTGGTGGAGCAGACAGTATGTGTGTGGTGGAGCAGACAGTGTGTGTGGTGGAGCAGACAGTATGTGTGTGGTGTAGCAGACAGTATGTGTGTGGTGGAGCAGACAGTATGTGTGTGGTGGAGCAGACAGTGTGTGTGGTGGAGCAGACAGTATGTGTGGTGGAGCAGACAGTGTGTGTGTGGTGGAGCAGACAGTATGTGTGTGGTGGAGCAGACAGTGTGTGTGTGGTAGATCAGACAGTGTGTGTGTGGTGGAGCAGACAGTATGTGTGTGGTGGAGCAGACAGTATGTGTGTGTGTGGTGGAGCAGACAGTATGTGTGTGTGGTGGAGCAGACAGTGTGTGTGGTGGAGCAGAGAGTGTGTGTGTGGTGGAGCAGACAGGCAGTATGTGTGTGGTGGAGCAGACAGTGTGTGTGTGGTGGAGCAGATAGTGTGTGTGTGGTGGAGCAGACAGTATGTGTGGTGGAGCAGACAGGCAGTATGTGTGTGGTGGAGCAGACAGTGTGTGTGTGTGTGGTGGAGCAGACAGTGTGTGTGTGGTGGAGCAGACAGTAGGTGTGGTGGAGCAGACAGTGTGTGTGTGGTGGAGCAGACAGTGTGTGTGTGGTGGAGCAGACTGTGTGTGTGTGGTGGAGCAGACAGGCAGTATGTGTGTGGTGGAGCAGACAGTGTGTGTGTGGTGGAGCAGACAGTGTGTGTGGTGGAGCAGACAGGCAGTATGTGTGTGGTGGAGCAGACAGGCAGTATGTGTGTGGTGGAGCAGACAGTATGTGTGTGGTGGAGCAGACAGTGTGTGTGTGTGGTGGAGCAGAGAGTGTGTGTGTGGTGGAGCAGACAGGCAGTATGTGTGTGGTGGAGCAGACAGTGTGTGTGTGGTGGAGCAGACAGTGTGTGTGTGGTGGAGCAGACTGTGTGTGTGTGGTGGAGCAGACAGGCAGTATGTGTGTGGTGGAGCAGACAGGCAATATGTGTGTGGTGAAGCAGACAGGCAGTATGTGTGTGGTGGAGCAGACAGTGTGTGTGGTGGAGCAGACAGTGTGTGTGTGGTGGAGCAGACAGGCAGTATGTGTGTGGTGGAGCAGACAGACAGTATGTGTGTGGTGGAGCAGACAGGCAGTATGTGTGTGGTGGAGCAGACAGGCAGTATGTGTGTGGTGGAGCAGACAGTGTGTGTGGTGGAGCAGACAGTGTGTGTGTGGTGGAGCAGACAGACAGTATGTGTGTGGTGGAGCAGACAGACAGTATGTGTGTGGTGGAGCAGACAGGCAGTATGTGTGTGGTGGAGCAGACAGTGTGTGTGGTGGAGCAGACAGTGTGTGTGTGGTGGAGCAGACAGGCAGTATGTGTGTGGTGGAGCAGACAGGCAGTATGTGTGGTGGAGCAGACAGTATGTGTGTGGTGGAGCAGACAGGCTGTGTGTGTGGTGGAGCAGACAGTATGTGTGTGGTGGAGCAGACAGGCAGTGTGTGGTGGAGCAGACAGGCAGTGTGTGTGGTGGAGCAGACAGGCAGTATGTGTGTGGTGGAGCAGACAGGCAGTATGTGTGTGGTGGAGCAGACAGGCAGTATGTGTGTGGTGGAGCAGACAGGCAGTGTGTGGTGGAGCAGACAGGCAGTGTGTGTGGTGGAGCAGACAGGCAGTATGTGTGTGGTGGAGCAGACAGGCAGTATGTGTGTGGTGGAGCAGACAGGCAGTATGTGTGTGGTGGAGCAGACAGGCAGTGTGTGTGGTGGAGCAGACAGGCAGTATGTGTGTAGTGGAGCAGCAGACAGACAGACAGTAAGGACAGAGGACAGCAGACGTGTGAGGGAGGTGGTACAGACAGCTCTGCGCGTCAAGTGACAGGTGACACAGCAGACAGAAGAGCTTCCCTGTTGGCCAGAGCAATAGACAGACAGACGAACAGATCTGTACACAAACCTTAGACGGAAGGTTCCGATAGTTACGTAACAACAACGTATATCTGACGTATTCACAACTCTCATGAACATTATATATAAATATACCTAGATGTATATAGGCTGATGATGTGTATATACATAGTGTATATAGGACACTTACCCGGCGTGGCACAGGTCTCCTTCCCTTCTCTCACCTCTCCTCACCATTGCCAGTCCCTCGTTCCATCCTGAATCCTCATCCTGATACTCTACGGAAAACAAACCCTTGAACATTAAAGTGGGGGGGTCGCTATTGATGCCAATATTTCTTAGCAAAACACAGTGACACCTGGGCGGACCCAGCTCGGCCTGTGACACTCCCATCCCCTCCAAGTGTCATCTTGCAAAGTTAGGAGACGCCCCTTGAACAACTGACAGACTAACAAACATTATATTTTAGATTTATAAATGATACACAAAGACTGGAGCAGAAATAATTTTTTATTTTCAGAGTAATTAGATATATTTATTAAGAGTTACCCTCAATGAGAGTAGCTTAATTATCTAACTTTAGTCAGAATATATTAATTAGTGTGAAGTGGTGAGTCAGTGTGTGAGTACTTTGACCTGCTGAACATCACACTATGACTCTCACAGTAATTAGTATGTGTGTGTGTGTGTGTGTGTGTGTGTGTGTGTGTGTGTGTGTGTGTGTGTGTGTGTGTGTGTGTGTGTGTGTGTGTGTGTGTGTGTGTGTGTGTGTGTGTGTGTGTGTGTGTGTGTGTGTGTGTGTGTGTGTGTGTGTGTGTGTGTGTGTGTGCGTGTGTGCGTGCGTGTGTGTGCGTGCGTGTGTACGGAAGCAGTCACAGGAACACAATAGCAATTGGAAGAGCTAATAGTAAGCCAGGACTCCGCCAGCAACACGGCCCAAAAGCTTCATCCAATTACTTTCATGGTTTTTGTCTACACGAGGACGAGCGGGGTTCGACCCGGCGGAAAATGAGCCCAGGACAACCAGCCTATGATGTGTGTACTTCCGCACGTACACAGAGGCTGGGACACGCACACACACACACACACACACACACACACACACACACACACACACACACACCTGAGGATGCACTCTTTCAAATGTAATATCAATATAGGTATAGGTTCAATTCTAATTGTAATATCTTAACATACTAAGAAGGTTAGGTTAGGTCGTGGTTTTCAATTCAGCTTTTCAAGGTAAACTCAAATATTCACAATAAATTAGTATATCACATATGCACTTATTCGTAACCAAGATATTGACTATAAGCAAGTGCGAGAACGGGTTGATGATGCACTAGCCGACTAATAGAGAGGGAAAGAGCAGTAGTCATAGTAGGTATTAGGGAGCAAATAGGGGCCACTCCAAGGGTGAGGAGAGATATGGACAAAGCCATAGACAAAGAGATTCTTGAAGGAGTACAGATGTACAGGGGGAAGAACTGAATACAGAAAAGGTTTTCAGGCTTGGCCGGCACAACAAGGACAAAGATCGCTTGATAAATGTGGTTTTCAAAAGCAAGATGAAAAGATACGTCAAAGTGTCAAGAGAGGCAGAAGGGCAATATGAAAACGACATAGCAAGCAAGGCTAAGACTCAGCCTAAACTGCCACACAGCCACATCAGGAGAAAGACAACAGTGAAGGAACAGGTAATGAAACTGAGGATAGGGGCAGACAGATTCACTACAAATGACAAGGAAGTGTGTGAGAAACTCAATAAGAAATTCCAGGAAGTCTTCACATTGGAGCAAGAAGAAGTTCCAGAGATAAGAGAAGGAATAATTAACCAGACACCACTAAAGGAATTTGAGATTACCAGTGGAGATGTACGGAAGCTTTTGCTAGAGTTGGATGTGACAAAGGCTGTAGGCCTGGTTAGAATATCACCATGGATACTAAAGGAAGGAGCAGAAGCACTGTGCCTGCCACTCTCAATGGTGTATAACAAATCACTGGCAACAAATTTCTGGCAGGTGAACTGCCAGAAATTTGGAAGGCGGCAAATGTAGTCCGATATACAAGAAAGGGGATAGACAGGAGGCACTGAACTACAGGCCAGTGTCCCTAACCTGCATACCATGCAAGCTGATGGAGAAGATTGTGCGAAGAAAGCTAGTGGAGCATCTGGAGCGAAAGAACTTTGTAACACAGCATCAACATGGGTTCAGGGATGGCAAGTCCTGCCTCACAGGGTTACTTGAATTCTACGACCAGGCAACAAAAATAAGGCAAGAAAGAGAAGGGTGGGCAGACTGCATATTTTTGGATTGTCAGAAAGCCTTTGACACAGTGCCACACAAGAGGCTAGTGAAAAAGCTGGAGATGCAGGCTGGAGTGAAAGGGAAGGTACTCCGGTGGATACAGGAGTACCTAAGCAACAGGAGACAACGAGTCAGTGTGAGGGGTGAGGTCTCAGATTGGCGAGACGTCACAAGTGGAGTCCCGCAGGGGTCAGTCCTTGGACCTATACTGTTTCTGATATATGTAAATGATCTCCCAGAGGGTATAGAATCGTTCCTCTCATTGTTTGCTGACGATGCAAAAATTATGAGGAGGATTAAGACGGAGGATGATAGTAGGAGGCTACAAGATGACCTAGACAGACTGAATGAATGGTCCAACAAATGGCTACTAAAGTTCAACCCGAGTAAATACAAGGTAATGAAACTAGGCGGTGGAAACAGGAGGCCAGACACAGGATACAGAATAGGAGATGAAGTACTTAATGAAACAGACAGAGAGAAAGATCTAGGAGTTGATATCACACCAAACCTGTCTCCTGAAGCCCACATAAAAAGAATAACGTCTGCGGCATATGCGAGGCTGGCTAACATCAGAACAGCGTTCAGGAACCTGTGTAAGGAATCATTCAGAATCTTGTACACCACATATGTAAGACCAATCCTGGAGTATGGGGCCCCAGCATGGAGCCCGTACCTTGTCAAGCACAAGACGAAGCTGGAAAAAGTCCAAAGGTATGCCACTAGACTAGTCCCAGAACTAAGAGGCATGAGTTACGAGGAAAGGCAGCGGGAAATGCACCTTACGACACTGGAAGACAGAAGAGTAAGGGGGGACATGATCACTACCTACAAAATTCTCAGAGGAATTGACAGAGTAGATGAAGATAAACTATTCAACACTGGTGGGACTCGAACAAGGGGACACAGGTGGAGACTGAGTACCCACATGAGCCACAGAGATGTTAGAAGGAACTGTTTCAGTGTGGGAGTAGTTAACAGGTGGAATGCATTAGGCAGTGATGTGGTGGAGGCTGACTCCATACACAGTTTATAATGTAGATATGATAGAGCCCAGTAGGCTCAGGAACCTGTACACCAGTTGATTGACAGTTGAGAGGCGGGACCAAAGAGCCAAAGCTCAACCCCCGCAAACATAAATAGGTGAGTACAAATAGGTGAGTACACACACACACACATACATAAAGCCCACATAATATATAAAATTTTTAAGACATTTAGAGAATGGAGCACATATTCCACTATAAAAATGCCATATATATATATATATACATATTATATATATATATATATAATATATATATATATATATTATATATATATATATATATATATATATATATATATACCCTCCTAGCATACCCTCGGTGCAAAGAGAATTCTGATATTTAAAATTTAGTTTTAAATGATTTAAATGTTTTAAATGAATTAGTTTAATTTATATATTATTTCAAAACAAATAAAATATGATGACGTGAGATTTATTTTATGAAATAATTTAAGAAAAGAGTTTATTTAAGGGTTTAAGGACAGCCATTATGATAGGGCTTAAATACAATATTTAATGAAGGGTTTTATATTGGGTTTAAGAGTTTGAGAGTGGGCTGAGAGCGGGTTCAAGAGCACCGAGAGTTGGAGAGGTTGTTTAAGAAAGGTTCCTTGTTTCACAGGACTCTAAGATTGAAACATATCAGAAGATGTGGAGGTATATGGAGAGTAGACGTCCGTCTGTGTTCGTGCCCACCATAGAGGAGGGGGTCAGTAGGGTGAGTACCTGGACCCCACCACTCATGGGGTCACTACCTGGACCCCACCACTCATGGGGTCAGTAGGGTGAGTACCTGGACCCCACCACTCATGGGGTCAGTAGGGTGAGTATCTGGACCCCACCACTCATGGGGTCAGTAGGGTGAGTATCTGGACCCCACCATTCATGGGGTCAGTAGGGTGAGTACCTGGACCCCACCACTCATGGGGTCAGTAGGGTGAGTACCTGGACCCCACCACTCATGGGGTCAGTAGTGTAGTACCTGGACCCCACCACTCATGGGGTCAGTAGGGTGAGTACCTGGACCCCACCACTCATGGGGTCAGTAGGGTGAGTACCTGGACCCCACCACTCATGGGGTCAGTAGGGTGAGTACCTGGACCCCACCACTCATGGGGTCAGTAGGGTGAGTACCTGGACCCCACCACTCATGGGGTCAGTAGGGTGAGTACCTGGACCCCACCACTCATGGGGTCAGTAGGGTGAGTACCTGGACCCCACCACTCATGGGGTCAGTAGGGTGAGTACCTGGACCCCACCACTCTTGGGGTCAGTAGGGTGAGTACCTGGACCCCACCACTCATGGGGTCAGTAGGGTGAGTACCTGGACCCCACCACTCATGGGGTCAGTAGGGTGAGTACCTGGACCCCACCACTCATGGGGTCAGTAGGGTGAGTACCTGGACCCCACCATTCATGGGGTCAGTAGGGTGAGTACCTGGACCCCACCACTCATGGGGTCAGTAGGGTGAGTACCTGGACCCCACCACTCATGGGGTCAGTAGGGTGAGTACCTGGACCCCACCACTCATGGGGTCAGTAGTGTGAGTACCTGGACCCCACCACTCATGGGGTCAGTAGGGTGAGTACCTGGACCCCACCACTCATGGGGTCAGTAGGGTGAGTACCTGGACCCCACCACTCATGGGGTCAGTAGGGTGAGTACCTGGACCCCACCATTCATGGGGTCAGTAGGGTGAGTACCTGGACCCCACCACTCATGGGGTCAGTAGGGTGAGTACCTGGACCCCACCACTCATGGGGTCAGTAGGGTGAGTACCTGGACCCCACCACTCATGGGGTCAGTAGGGTGAGTACCTGGACCCCACCACTCATGGGGTCAGTAGGGTGAGTACCTGGACCCCACCACTCATGGGGTCAGTAGGGTGAGTACCTGGACCCCACCACTCATGGGGTCAGTAGGGTGAGTACCTGGACCCCACCACTCATGGGGTCAGTAGGGTGAGTACCTGGACCCCACCACTCATGGGGTCAGTAGGGTGAGTACCTGGACCCCACCACTCATGGGGTCAGTAGGGTGAGTACCTGGACCCCACCACTCATGGGGTCAGTAGGGTGAGTACCTGGACCCCACCACTCATGGGGTCAGTAGGGTGAGTACCTGGACCCCACCACTCATGGGGTCAGTAGGGTGAGTACCTGGACCCCACCACTCATGGGGTCAGTAGGGTGAGTACCTGGACCCCACCATTCATGGGGTCAGTAGGGTGAGTACCTGGACCCCACCACTCATGGGGTCAGCAGGGTGAGTACCTGGACCCCACCACTCATGGGGTCAGTAGGGTGAGTACCTGGACCCCACCACTCATGGGGTCAGTAGGGTGAGTACCTGGACCCCACCACTCATGGGGTCAGTAGGGTGAGTACCTGGACCCCACCACTCATGGGGTCAGTACCTGGACCCCACCACTCATGGGGTCAGTACCTGGAGTACCTGGACCCCACCACTCATGGGGTCAGTAGGGTGAGTACCTGGACCCCACCACTCATGGGGTCAGTAGGGTGAGTACCTGGACCCCACCACTCATGGGGTCAGGGTGAGGGGTCAGTACCTGGACCCCACCACTCATGGGGTCAGTAGGGTGAGTACCTGGACCCCACCACTCATGGGGTCAGCAGGGTGAGTACCTGGACCCCACCACTCATGGGGTCAGTAGGGTGAGTACCTGGACCCCACCACTCATGGGGTCAGTAGGGTGAGTACCTGGACCCCACCACTCATGGGGTCAGTAGGGTGAGTACCTGGACCCCACCACTCATGGGGTCAGTAGGGTGAGTACCTGGACCCCACCACTCATGGGGTCAGTAGGGTGAGTACCTGGACCCCACCACTCATGGGGTCAGTAGGGTGAGTACCTGGACCCCACCACTCTTGGGGTCAGTAGGGTGAGTACCTGGACCCCACCACTCATGGGGTCAGTAGGGTGAGTACCTGGACCCCACCACTCATGGGGTCAGTAGTGTAGTACCTCGACCCCACCACTCATGGGGTCAGTAGGGTAGTACCTCGACCCCACCATTCATGGGGTCAGTAGGGTGAGTACCTGGACCCCACCACTCATGGGGTCAGTAGGGTGAGTACCTGGACCCCACCACTCATGGGGTCAGTAGGGTGAGTACCTGGACCCCACCACTCATGGGGTCAGTAGTGTAGTACCTCGACCCCACCACTCATGGGGTCAGTAGGGTGAGTACCTGGACCCCACCACTCATGGGGTCAGTAGGGTGAGTACCTGGACCCCACCACTCATGGGGTCAGTAGGGTGAGTACCTGGACCCCACCATTCATGGGGTCAGTAGGGTGAGTACCTGGACCCCACCACTCATGGGGTCAGTAGGGTGAGTACCTGGACCCCACCACTCATGGGGTCAGTAGGGTGAGTACCTGGACCCCACCACTCATGGGGTCAGTAGGGTGAGTACCTGACCCCACCACTTATGGGGTCAGTAGGGTGAGTACCTGGACCCCACCATTCATGGGGTCAGTAGGGTGAGTACCTGGACCCCACCACTCATGGGGTCAGCAGGGTGAGTACCTGGACCCCACCATTCATGGGGTCAGTAGGGTGAGTACCTACACCCCACCATTCATGGGGTCAGTAGGGTGAGTACCTGGACCCCACCACTCATGGGGTCAGTACCTGGACCCCACCACTCATGGGGTCAGTACCTGGACCCCACCACTCATGGGGTCAGTAGGGTGAGTACCTGGACCCCACCACTCCTGGGGTCAGTAGGGTGAGTACCTGGACCCCACCACTCATGGGGTCAGTAGGGTGAGTACCTGGACCCCACCACTCATGGGGTCAGTACCTGGACCCCACCACTCATGGGGTCAGTACCTGGACCCCACCACTCATGGGGTCAGTAGGGTGAGTACCTGGACCCCACCACTCATGGGGTCAGCAGGGTGAGTACCTGGACCCCACCACTCATGGGGTCAGTACCTGGACCCCACCATTCATGGGGTCAGTACCTGGACCCCACCACTCATGGAGGTCAGTAGGGTGAGTACCTGGACCCCACCACTCATGGGGTCAGTAGGGTGAGTACCTGGACCCCACCACTCATGGGGTCAGTAGGGTGAGTACCTGGACCCCACCATTCATGGGGTCAGTAGGGTGAGTACCTGGACCCCACCACTCATGGGGTCAGTAGGGTGAGTACCTGGACCCCACCACTCATGGGGTCAGTAGGGTCAGTACCTGGACCCCACCACTCATGGGGTCAGTAGGGTGAGTACCTGATCCCACCACTTATGGGGTCAGTAGGGTGAGTACCTGGACCCCACCACTCATGGGGTCAGCAGGGTGAGTACCTGACCCCACCACTCATGGGGTCAGTAGGGTGAGTACCTGGACCCCACCACTCATGGGGTCAGTAGGGTGAGTACCTGGACCCCACCACTCATGGGGTCAGCAGGGTGAGTACCTGAACCCCACCATTCATGGGGTCAGTAGGGTGAGTACCTGGACCCCACCCCTCATGGGGTCAGTAGGGTGAGTACCTGGACCCCACCACTCATGGGGTCAGCAGGGTGAGTACCTGGACCCCACCACTCATGGGGTCAGTACCTGGACCCTACCATTCATGGGGTCAGTACCTGGACCCCACCACTCATGGGGTCAGCAGGGTGAGTACCTGGACCCCACCACTCATGGGGTCAGTAGGGTGAGTACCTGGACCCCACCACTCATGGGGTCAGTAGGGTGAGTACCTGGACCCCACCACTCATGGGGTCAGCAGGGTGAGTACCTGGACGCCACCATTCATGGGGCCAGTACCTGGACCCCACCATTCATGGGGTCAGTAGGGTGAGTACCTGGACCCCACCATTCATGGGGTCAGTAGGGTGAGTACCTGGACCCCACCACTCATGGGGTCAGCAGGGTGAGTACCTGGACCCCACCATTCATGGGGTCAGTAGGGTGAGTACCTGGACCCCACCATTCATGGGGTCAGTAGGGTGAGTACCTGGACCCCACCACTCATGGGGTCAGTACCTGGACCCCACCACTCATGGGGTCAGTACCTGGACCCCACCACTCATGGGGTCAGTAGGGTGAGTACCTGGACCCCACCACTCCTGGGGTCAGTAGGGTGAGTACCTGGACCCCACCACTCATGGGGTCAGTACCTGGACCCCACCACTCATGGGGTCAGTAGGGTGAGTACCTGGACCCCACCACTCATGGGGTCAGCAGGGTGAGTACCTGGACCCCACCACTCATGGGGTCAGTAGGGTGAGTACCTGGACCCCACCACTCATGGGGTCAGTAGGGTGAGTACCTGGACCCCACCACTCATGGGGTCAGCAGGGTGAGTACCTGGACCCCACCACTCATGGGGTCAGCAGGGTGAGTACCTGGACCCCACCACTCATGGGGTCAGCAGGGTGAGTACCTGGACCCCACCACTCATGGGGTCAGTACCTGGACCCCACCATTCATGGGGTCAGTACCTGGACCCCACCACTCATGGAGGTCAGTAGGGTGAGTACCTGGACCCCACCACTCATGGGGTCAGTACCTGGACCCCACCATTCATGGGGTCAGTACCTGGACCCCACCACTCATGGAGGTCAGTAGGGTGAGTACCTGGACCCCACCACTCATGGGGTCAGTACCTGGACCCCACCATTCATGGGGTCAGTACCTGGACCCCACCACTCATGGGGGTCAGTAGGGTGAGTACCTGGACCCCACCATACATGGGGTCAGTAGGGTGACTAGCCTTTCCTCAAAAATTATGAATATAAGGCTACAATTCACGGGATACAGTTATGAACTATTTAGCCAAACAACATCGGTACAAGGGATGTCAGGACTATAAGGCTGTAGAAGTTAAGAGGATGCGATCACCGGCAGGTCCTGCGTGGGAACTACGCCTTCCTGATGGAGTCGACCATGCTCGACTACACTATACAGAGGAACTGTAACCTGACTCAGGTCGGCGGACTCCTCAACTCGAACTCCTACGGCATCGCCACCCCCATAGGTAAGGTCGACCTCCAGCGCCTTCAAGACCAGGTCCTGGTGTTCTCTCTGGCCTCGAGGACCAGGTCCTGGTGTTCTCTCTGGCCTCGAGGACCAGGTCCTGTGCTCTCTGGCTTCGAGGACCAGGTCCTGTGCTCTCTGGCCTCGAGGACCAGGTCCTTGTGTTCTCTCTGGCCTCGAGGACCAGGTCCTGGTGTTCTCTCTGGCCTCGAGGACCAGGTCCTGTGCTCTCTGGCCTCGAGGACCAGGTCCTGTGCTCTCTGGCCTCGAGGACCAGGTCCTGTGCTCTCTGGCCTCGAGGACCAGGTCCTTGTGTTCTCTCTGGCCTCGAGGACCAGGTCCTTGTGTTCTCTCTGGCCTCGAGGACCAGGTCCTTGTGTTCTCTCTGGCCTCGAGGATCAGGTCCTGGTGTTCTCTCTGGCCTCGAGGACCAGGTCCTGTGTTCTCTCTGGCCTCGAGGACCAGCTCGAGGTATGAACTGTTCTACTGTTCTATGATGTTCTCATGCTTGTGGTTCAGAACAGATTTGATGTTCTCCAGGATAACCAATGATATTTTCAACATTATGTTGTTCTGCAGCACAAGCAATGGTTCTTGAGAAATGTTCTCATGTTCACCACGACATCTACAGTGTTCTAAGACCTGTTCTTGTGTTCACCATAACCAAAATTGTTCTACGACCTGTTCTTATGTTCACCACCCCCCCCAAAACACTGCCCCAAGCCCTGTTCTCGTGTTCACCACCCCCCAAAACACTGCCCCAAGCCCTGTTCTCGTGTTCACCACCCCCCCAAAACACTGCCCCAAGCCCTGTTCTCGTGTTCACCACCCCCCAAAACACTGCCCCAAGCCCTGTTCTCGTGTTCACCACCCCCCAAAACACTGCCCCAAGCCCTGTTCTCGTGTTCACCACCCCCCAAAACACTGCCCCAAGCCCTGTTCTCGTGTTCACCACCCCCCAAAACACTGCCCCAAGCCCTGTTCTCGTGTTCACCACCCCCCAAAACACTGCCCCAAGCCCTGTTCTCGTGTTCACCACCCCCCAAAACACTGCCCCAAGCCCTGTTCTCGTGTTCACCACCCCCCAAAACACTGCCCCAAGCCCTGTTCTCGTGTTCACCACCCCCCAAAACACTGCCCCAAGCCCTGTTCTCGTGTTCACCACCCCCCAAAACACTGCCCCAAGCCCTGTTCTCGTGTTCACCACCCCCCAAAACACTGCCCCAAGCCCTGTTCTCGTGTTCACCACCCCCCAAAACACTACCCCAAGCCCTGTTCTCGTGTTCACCACCCCCCAAAACACTGCCCAAGCCCTGTTCTCGTGTTCACCACCCCCCAAAACACTGCCCCAAGCCCTGTTCTCGTGTTCACCACCCCCCAAAACACTGCCCCAAGCCCTGTTCTCGTATTCACCACCCCCCAAAACACTGCCCCAAGCCCTGTTCTCGTGTTCACCACCCCCCCAAAACACTGCCCCAAGCCCTGTTCTCGTGTTCACCACCCCCCAAAACACTGCCCCAAGCCCTGTTCTCGTGTTCACCACCCCCCAAAACACTGCCCCAAGCCCTGTTCTCGTGTTCACCACCCCCCAAAACACTGCCCCAAGCCCTGTTCTCGTGTTCACCACCCCCCAAAACACTGCCCCAAGCCCTGTTCTCGTGTTCACCACCCACCAAAACACTGCCCCAAGCCCTGTTCTCGTGTTCACCACCCACCAAAACACTGCCCCAAGCCCTGTTCTCGTGTTCACCACCCCCCAAGCCCTGTTCTCGTGTTCACCACCCCCCAAAACACTGCCCCAAGCCCTGTTCTCGTGTTCACCATGACAACTACAGTGTTCTAAGCCCTGTTCTCGTGTTCACCACCCACCAAAACACTGCCCCAAGCCCTGTTCTCGTGTTCACCACCCCCCAAGCCCTGTTCTCGTGTTCACCACCCCCCAAAACACTGCCCCAAGCCCTGTTCTCGTGTTCACCATGACAACTACAGTGTTCTAAGCCCTGTTCTCGTGTTCACCACCCACCAAAACACTGCCCCAAGCCCTGTTCTCGTGTTCACCACCCCCCAAGCCCTGTTCTCGTGTTCACCACCCCCCAAAACACTGCCCCAAGCCCTGTTCTCGTGTTCACCATGACAACTACAGTGTTCTAAGCCCTGTTCTCGTGTTCACCACCCCCAAAACACTGCCCCAAGTCGTGTTCTCGTGTTCACCACCCCCCAAGCCCTGTTCTCGTGTTCACCACCCCCCAAGCCGTGTTCTCGTGTTCACCACCCCCCAAGCCCTGTTCTCGTGTTCACCACCCCCCAAGCCCTGTTCTCGTGTTCACCACCTCACAAGCCTTGTTCTCGTGTTCACCACAGCCCAAGCGCTGTTCTCGTGTTCACCACCCCCCAAGCCCTGTTCTCGTGTTCACCACCCCCCCCAAGCCCTGTTCTCGTGTTCACCACCCCCCAAACCACTACCCCAAGCGTGTTCTCGTGTTCACCACCCCCCAAGCCCTGTTCTCGTGTTCACCACCCCCAAACCACTACCCCAAGCGTGTTCTCGTGTTCTCTGAGACGTGTTCTTGGTGTTGACGGCGGCAGGTTCACCGTGGAGGGACAAGATCTCGCTGGCCATCCTGGAGCTGCAGGAGAAGGGGATCATCCAGATGCTATACAGCAAGTGGTGGAAGAACACGGGCGACGTCTGTAACAGGGACGAGAAGAACAAGGACTCTAAAGCCAGCGCTCTCGGTGTAGAGAACATTGGTCAGTTTACCTACATTTGTACCATGAGTTTACCTCCATTTGTACCATTGAGGTAAACCCATGGTATGAACCTTAAACCCATGATTTGTACCATGGGCTTATCTTGATTTGTACCATGGGTTTACCTGGTTTTGTACTATGGGTTTACCTTGTTTGCACCATGAGTTTACCTTGTTTGCACCATGAGTTTACCTTGTTTTGTACATGGGTTTACGTTGATTTGTATCATTGAGGTAAACCCATGG